GCTGGGGTGGAAAGATGTATGAAAACAGTAGAAATAAAATGGCAATTAGAAAATAAATAAATAAATAAAAAAAAATAATAAAATAAAATATTTTAAATAAATAATTTATTCTTTTAATTAATTTAAATGAAGGGAGATAATTCTTACCAAAATTTAAGGTCATAAATTAGGACACATTCCACCCTTACATGCTAAGCCTAATGGTAATAAATGAGAGTTATTTCGAAATTAATTAAGTATTTAACAGTAACACATCTTTAATGTATTCAATGTCACAGACCTACAGCATACTCCAGACTCTATATTCTCAGATATTTAACTAATTTCATTCAAAATTGTTGTACATTGACCAATTCATTTTCATTTACATATAGGTATGTCCATTGCCCACTGAACTATTTTGCATGTGTGACTGATCGTATTAGAAGCACTGTTTAAGGAAGTTCTCAAGTAACATAAACCAACGAAAAAGCCATAAAAGACATATGTGCTTGCTTATGGTCATACATTACAACCTGTTTCAGAGTACATAACCCTCAAAATTCAATTGCCAAAATTTAGTGTAGAATATTTGATATTGTAGTTTTGCACCAATACACAAAATCAACAGACTCATCTTGAGTCTGCATCACAAAATACCTTAATTTTTTAAAATCATAATAACTCTCAAATGATTTTATTATGCCATTTTGTATTAGATACGATAATATCTATGGTAACTTAATTGGTAAGGCACATGTTTTATCATGATTGATCAAAACAAGTTTTACAAAGCAGTCTTTTGGACAGTCATACCCCAATTTTAGTAATATCAAGTTTACCAAAATTATTGGCAAAATTTTAAAAATATAAATATACAAAGAATCATGCTCTCTTGAAAGGAATTATACATCTAAAGTAATGTACAAAAAAAAAAAAAAAAAAAAATTCCTTTTTAGTGCTAAGAATTGGGTGTATCACTCTGTGTGTCAGCATACAATGACCTAGCTTGAGTTAATCAAACTTGCAGATGGCAAATATTAATTTTCGCATGAATATAACGATATACCAAATTCCATATGCTCAACAATCTCAAGTAAACATAACAAAGGCATGTATAAAATAATTTAAACCAGATTCTTACAAGTTAGGATTTTCCTTAATTACCAAATATGCATTTCAAGGTTTAACATTAAGGAAGTAAACTTGATATAAATTACTTTTACCATCATTTCTGAGAGGAAACTATTCTCTTCGAAAAATATATTTTGTGTCAACATTCTTACAATTCTTGTTTTGTTTTAACTGAGTTCAATTGCCGGTTGACAAGATGCAATATAAATCTAGTGCCCTGTTCACACGACAAGTTTAATTCGCAGTAAATTAATGCGAAGTAAACTAATGCGAATCAAATTAATGCGAATTAAATTGCGTTCACACGACAGCTAATGCGAAGTAAACTAATGCGAATTAAAAAATTTCTTTACTTGTTTTTGTCATTTGTAAATCACGTCATGTATGCAGAGCCATCCTTTGATAAATTGGCTACAGATATTCATTGATTTTAGTGATTAACATACAATTTTTGAACCAAATATAGCACAAATACCTATATATAACCACCAACACGTGTCCTGTGACTTAATTCTAACCTTGCGCATGTGTCAAAATTTAATTCGAATTGGCTTCGCTTAGCGTTCACGCGGAGCTGATGTGAAGTAATTTAATGCACAGTAAATTAATTCGAATTAAAATAATTCGCATTAAATTCTCCGTTTGAACGCTAAGCGAAGCTAATTCGCAGTAAACTTACGTTTAATTCGAATTAAACTCTCCGTGTGAACAGGGCATAAAATATACGGTTCCTTTAATTGAAGCTTTATATGAGAGGTTGAATGGAACGTTTGGCTCAACCCCCTTTTTAACAGAAATTGCGGTGGGGTTTAGACAGTATTGGATAGTTTATAAAATATATTTGTCAATTTTGTAGGATAAATATTAAATCTCGCTCACTTAATTACTGAAGCAAATACTACACATTTCCCATCAGAATGCAACAGGGAGGACAAGGTTATTATAATTTTGAAAATTGCTGCTTTTCAAAACATATTGTTTAAACATTAATAAATGCACAGTGGATCCCGTTTAATCCAATAGTAAGTTTGTCAGCCTTCTGGTATCAGAATATCCGAATATTCGAATAGCCGATTGCTCCATTTCGAGTCCAAATATTAGGCCTACCATGTGTTTACCTATTTTTACACTCTTTACTGGTATTCTATTTTTCCCTATGACTAATCGATAGTTGGTTCATAAATTGTGAAGTACTAAAGAAGGGTCTTAATAAATTTATATAGATAGGTATGCAAAGGGATCGGTTGGGGGGGGGGGGGGTATTAGGACACATTGTTATTGTTAAAAGTTGTTAAAAGTAGCTTAGTACCTTAAGTGAAGAGGTGAAACCGTGACAGTAGCTTGTCCTGTTCCAATTTTGGTTTGTTTTAGTACAAAATCCTTTAAGACAACTATAAGCAACACTCGCAAAGATAGTTGTATTTTTCTAAGTTCTATATTACCTTGTCACGCAAGGAAACTTGGTAAGAGGTGTTTTAATTATTTAAAAGCCACGAAAGAGTTACAGCCTTTTAGGTAACAAGTAACCAATGGAAAAATACAGTGTCGGTAAGTATCAACAATGTTAGAGGAAATAGTAGTTGTTTTATACGGACAAGTCCTTGGCTCCTTTTGTAAAACTTGTGTAATCACTTATTCTGTAAATTTTTATTGATGAATGAGCAGGCCCTGGTCGACGGTGACCATTTGCGTTGAGGTACTGCCGCCGTCACCATGGTTCTTGGCACCCCATTGGTGGCGGTTGCAGTTCCATGATTACTCGTAGTAGACACGAGTATTCATGGCCCTTGCAATTGGCGTTATCCGTCGCACCTCAACGCAATTGGACGAGTGCAACACATATTCTTACGCTCATTCCATTGTTTATTGACTTGATTGATATTTGAATTGATTGATTGATTAATAATTGATTGATTGACAAGTAATTGACTTGATTGATATTTGAATTGATTGATTGACTGATTGATTAATAATTGATTGATTGAATTTGATTGATTATTGCATTGGTGACGTTCATGCACTTGTGACCTACCCAGTGCATGATCCGCCCGATTTGGGTCGTCACATTTGTTGTATTGATTGTTGATTGTGGGGCAGCCCTGTGGTAGCCCCAGCAAATTGATCACCGCGGCCAGAAGCGCCATATTAAACAAGCAAAATAACATCCATATTGTTTGTTTGATTTATAGGGAATCTGAAATAATACCACTTATACGAGCCTGTCTCGGATAAGTGAGTTTATTTCAGTAACCCTATGTCCTTCCATTCCGGATATCTTAAGCCCTTACAGATATATAATTATATGTACCTTTAGTCCCAACCTATCAATCCGGAAAATTTAGGTCCATATACATATACTAGTCTAATACTTAGTTGTTTCCTCCTCTTCCTTTCTTGATAAATCGATAAAACGGTAAGGTCATGGAAAATTTTGTGAAGTTGAATTGTTGCAATATTTTAATTTTCCCCACCCACCCTCCTCTTGTTTTAGAACAAATACTGCTGTTCTTGTTATGTCATTGTAGCTGAAGACTTCCTGCTTGGCCTGTGTCCACAACATCCAATGTCGCAGTGATAATCGTGTGCTCTAATCTTCCTCAATGGTGCCCTGTTTAGTCCAGCGTCTTCATCAACTTGTGTTGCATTAGTGAATTCTGTATGATTGCGTATTCTTCAAAGACTGCCTGTTGGGTACAGCGTTCGCATCAACCAATGTCGCGGTGATGAGGTCTCTATTCTACCTATACCGTGATGACTACCTGTTTGGGATTCCGCATCAACCAATGTCGCGGTGATGAAGTCTCTGTTTTACCTATACAGTAATTACTGGCTGTTTGGGATACCGTCCACTTCAGCCTTATCGTGGTTGGAATTCCTAGTGTTTGCGTATTCCGTCGCACCTCAACGCAATTGGACGAGTGCAACACATATTCTTACGCTCATTCCATTGTTTATTGACTTGATTGATATTTGAATTGATTGATTGATTAATAATTGATTGATTGACAAGTAATTGACTTGATTGATATTTGAATTGATTGATTGACTGATTGATTAATAATTGATTGATTGAATTTGATTGATTATTGCATTGGTGACGTTCATGCACTTGTGACCTACCCAGTGCATGATCCGCCCGATTTGGGTCGTCACGTTTGTTGTATTGATTGTTGATTGTGGGGCAGCCCTGTGGTAGCCCCAGCAAATTGATCACCGCGGCCAGAAGCGCCATATTAAACAAGCAAAATAACATCCATATTGTTTGTTTGATTTATAGGGAATCTGAAATAATATAATAATAAACTCCTAAAATCCACTGCATTGCATAAAAGAAAATATTTCTTATAAAAAATATTGACATTTTATCTTAGTCATTTAAATTTTTTAATGTCCTTCCTGTTACTTTCATAAAAAGAGCTGTAAACTCTATTTCAAATTTTTATCTATTAATCTTTTGTATTATCGTCAAAAAATGAAAAAAAAAAATATCATTGAATGCCAAGATGTTTGACATTCATCTAATATATGAGCGTTTAAAAGCATGTCAAACTACCATATACCAAACAGAAGCAAAATCTATCGGTTTTTCTTCATGAAAAGCCTTATTGCTGAATATTTATACACAGGGAAAAGTGGCTCGCATGATTTTCGCATGAAATTCGCACGAATATCATGCGATTTCTTCGCATGAAAAGGAGACGAAAAACAAGTCGCATGATATTCGCATAAAAATATCGTGATTTTTACATGAAATTCGCACGAATATCATGCGAAAAGAAAATCGCATGAAATTTATGTGAAAAAAGAACCCAGGTTTCATATGAATATCATGCGATGACAAGCATATTTTTTGTACCCTAGAAATTGATATCAAAATTCGATCAATCCATTAATTCTATTCTTCGAATCCTTGGAAACACAATTTTTGCTTCTTAGCAGTTCCTTCAAATGATTTTTTTTCTTGGATAATTCCATGGATTTAATATCTTCTTTTTTTTCTTACTTAGTCAATTAATCCAGATACAAGAAATGAATGATTATACAAAAAGTCACTTTCAATTTTAAAGAATCAAAACTTGTTTCTGGACTCCCTGACTAAGAAAAGACATTTGTGACATCAGCTTCTTCATTGAAAACTAAAACCATTGATCTTTTTCTATCTTCTTTATTGAGGTTCTCATCACATAAAATTTCTTTATCTTGAAGTTCTGTTGAGGTGGTGTTGTTAGTAAACACTGAAAATACAAATGGTAAACATTCTATCATAGGTTATACAGTGTATTAAAATGGAAAATGCACAATAAATTTTCTGATTTAAATATATGCTCTAAATGCCCTTAAGTAGGATTGATATTTCTTGGCCATGATCAGCTATATGCCAAGTAAGATAATGTTCTCTTCTAACTATCATATAAAAAGTTGTACTTTTTAGTGAAATTTCTGTAAATTCTGCAAACTTTACCTTGCATTATGACCTCTGTTTTGAAAATTTAAAACAATGTATTTAATGATAATTATAATCAACCATTAGGACAGTATATTGAGATCTAGATCTTACTTTTACAATTATTAGTTATTATGTTATGGCCAAGAATTTAAAATTCAATCCCTGTGACTTTGACACTGCTTACATGAACAGCATGCAGAGTTATTTCACTGCCTCTGGTGATAGTAAAGCAGCCTTTTTATTTAGAATATATCTTCATGAAAGTTATTATTTTATATTTTAAAAGCATATCATGATATCTACAGTTCAAATTACCCTATGTTAGAGATGGGATATAGTCCTTTAGACCTTTCAGTCACAAACAATTTTTGTCTATCTAAATGTTTCCATTATAGAATTGTGATGTAAAACAAGAGGCCCATGGGCCTTATAGGTCACCTGAGTATCATGTAACAACTGTCCAACAATTGAATTGGTTCATGTTTTAAATCAAAGGCCATTAAATTCAAAATTTTGAAAGAGGCACTATTGCTTATCATAACTAATACACTTAGCTTGCTTACTTTAGTTACTTATACCCAGAGTTAGATCATAGTAACAAAGAGAAAATGCATTTCCACTTTTTAACCAGTTGTGCACAGACTACCCCACAGGAACCACTGACCCTGGGGGCACATATTTCAAAATTCTGGAAATTTTATCATAAAATTTATTTCCACATAAATGGTTGATTATTACCAAAAAGAAAATTTCAAAGCATTAATTTATTTATAGACTATGTGATTCCACCCCAATCCCAAGTACCCTGACCCAGGGAATCTGAAACTAACCATTTTGGAAAAGGCACCTTTCATCATCATTAATATGTACTTAATTAGAACACTGACTGAAATAATAACCAGGAGCAAAGGAAAAGGTTTTCAAGGAATTCGTGCATTTTTTTACTTTATAATCTTTCATTAGAGCCCTGCCCTAGCACCAAAACCCTGAACTTGAGTTTACTCAAGTGACCTAAAAATATGTGAATACATTTGTACTCTTTAGACCTGAGTATAGTGACAAATACCTTATGCCAGGTTGTTCAAGATATGCTGCAACAATCATGTCTTTTTGTTCCTTGGTACATGTCTCTGTGCTTTAACAGTTTCCTCTTCAAGTGATCCATCAGTTTCCACCTCCAGGTTGTTCTCTGTAATATTGAACTTAAGAGTTTAGCTTACAAGTTGTGTATTGTTAGAGTTTTCAAACAATTTTGAGTGAAAGTAACAAATACCTGTTCTAGGCTGTTCAAGATATGCTGTAACAAGGTGTTCATTGTTTTGTGAAACATATTTATGACTGCTTTAACAGGATCCTCTTCAAATGATCTATCAGTTTCCACCTCTAGACTGTTCTCTGTAATATTGAACTCTGGTTTAGATGGCAAAAATTAAATATGTGCAGCTTTGATATAATTGTTAAGATTAAAGTGTCCAAATTAATTAAAATATTCATGAATACAAATTACTTACATGTAGTCTTTTGACAAATCAGGATGATTTAGGGTTACTCTGGTATTGAAGTTTGATCTTGTGATGATTGACATTTTAACTGTGCCTACAGAAAAACTCAAAAAATGTCAGTTCAATAACATTTTGTTCATTATCTCTGTAACATATTTTATTACACAAGTCACAAGTATTCTATGAATTAACAAAGTTAACTATAATTTAACTTGATTTAGTCTGAAAGCTAATGGTTTTGCTATGCATTCAATTGAATTAACACAATTGCTATAGATTTTTTTTACTTGGGGTACAAGGTGATAATAAAATACATGTATTATTTTCATATATCAATATATACAACTGTAACAGGTGGTGAAAAGTGAAGTCTCAACCAAGACTCAAACCCAGGGCCTCTGGCATACATTGCCAGCACACTAACCCACTGAGCTGATTGAGACCCAATATTTTGACTGACTTTCACGCACCTGTTGACCCGGTACATCTGCAACAAATATTTCCCTCTATTCTAGAATTTTCTTGCCTGTTTGCATGTATCATATTAATTTTATAATCTTTGAAAAGCTATCAGTGCTGTGAGTATCATGGAGTACCATCTGCTTATTACTAGCAAATACCTGTAAGTATAGAATACACATGACATTGTACAGTATTTACTAAATATTTTAAAACATAGGCCTTAAATAAATATTTGTTTGTTGGCAGTTACCTACCGTCCCATAGAAAATGCACATGACACAATTAATTTTTTGTAGCCATTTGTAATAATTTTTTTCTCAATATTTTAGGACATTAAAACTATATTTTATTTTTGACTTTGTTCAATTGTTGTTTACCAAACAGCTGTGATTTTGAGAAGAGATAAAGCCAAGTGGAGCTTATTCATATTTAGTGGGGGACAGTCTATGAAAAGCTCTATTATTTGTTATCTGAAATCTGAAATAAAAAATCTGAAAACATTTTATTTTTTAAAATGCCTTTAATATTACTACCTTCCTACGTACCCAGTCTAAAAATTATAGGATGGCAACTGCTTTTAGCTTGGCCATTATTATTTAGTAACCACAATAAAGAATATATATAGACCTATACAGTAGTGAGTATATATTGTACATGACAACTCATTATTGGAAAGTAACTAGGCTTTGACTCGGTGGCGGATTTAAGTTGGGGCATGCACACCCAGTGCACGCCCCCTAAAATTGTCAAAGTTAGCATTAAACATAGTTTTGTCGAGAAAACGCTTAAAATGTGTCTACTCGGTACTCTGTAGACCTCAATGTTACCCTACAAAACCTCTAGAATCCATGAACTTCTGGGGGCTTCCCCCCAGGACCCCCACCAAGGCTTTGCCCTGGACCCACTGGGGGCCTCAAAGTGGCAACCAGACCCCCTGCCTAAACTCTTGCACTCCCCCCCCCCCTTAACTTCAATTCCTGGATCCGCTCCTGAGACTCCTGTCTTGCCTTCTTGATAGGCCTATTATATAATGTACTACCATGATAACTTAATTAGCTTCTTTATATCAGCATATATTTTTGAATGTACACAAGTTAAAACCTAATGGCTATAACAGCTGATATTTATATTTATAAAAAAAAAGCAGCTCTTTTCATGAGAACTTTACCAGGCATATCCTTTTACCTACTTCTTTGACATATTTTGCCTAGGAGTTATTCCCCTTAGCTGCCATCTTGTAGGGCAAAACAGTGAATTTTCCTCTTTGAGCAACCAATTTTAAACATACATGCAAGAAATATATGGAGGAAAATATTTACAATCTCAAGATTATGAATTAACAGATGCTTTAACAAACGTATTTTCAAAAGAAAAATCAAGTTAACTTCACCTCAGTAACCAGTATAACAAACTGAAATTGGTTCACCCTTCAATAATGAAGGGATCTGGGAATGTTGCCCTACAACATGGCGGCCATGGGGAATAACTCTTGCTTTTAAATTTACCTCAATGGAAAAACCATCTATTTTGAAATTTTGTACATGTATGTATAATTCTGCAGTGTTGTGTAATATGGCTTGCTGCATTTATATTTCAGACAATCAGGTGCAACAGTATTTTAAAAAAAACAACATTAGGCCTATCCTAGTTCACTAAGCCTTTACAATAGTATCGTGATAATATGATTGCGCCCATGTGAAAAGGGTCCTTATGGCAATTTTTATGCATTTTGAGTTTTTCACGGATTCTGATAGAGTAAGGTTAGAAGTTGTCAAATATGAATTTTTATGGTCCTACGTCTACTCTAAGTAGGTTTTTTTCTTCATTTTTATCAAATATACTTTAACAGGTTAATAATGACGTCATGTTTTTTCAACAACGTCAAACGTTTTCAGAGTGAACGTTAAATGATTTTCTTCTGTAATTTTACATGTACTACGGTGATTAATAGTTGTATAATATTTGATATTTTTTCCATGCACATTATTTTTATATCATTGTCTCTTTTAATTATTGATAATTATTTAATAGTTATATAGATTATGGATTCATCAGTGGTGTATAGTATTATGAGTGAGTGTTTGTTTTACATTTCACTTTTCTATGACACCAGGGGGAAACCTGAACAGCGGGCAACATCCATTCATTTTTTTTTTTGAAACAATTATTTTCCCAAACAAACTATTTACTGGTTATTCATGCAAGAGTCATTTGATAAGCCTGTAGAATTCATTTGAAAATTATTTTAATTTAAACGTTGCTCTCGATAGGTCAAGATTTCAGTATAAACGATATGTATAGGTTACATCATTCCACGCCCCATGAAAACGATATAACCAATAGTACGAGGCATCTATGATGTAAGCAACTTGTCGCATGTCTGATGACGTAAATTTCATTGAGAGTGTCAAAATTCAATAATAAGAAAAAAAGGATTCATTTCAAGCTAGCTCTCCAACATGTTGAACGTTCTTAGTGAATTTGACTTTGAGTTTTTAATTGAGTTTGAAGATTTTGACACTTTATTTTTGAGCCAGGCACTCGACATATATGAAATCACAGAAACAAATAGCAAGAAGTTTAACGATAAAGAGTTTTGAGATTTTACTGTAACTTTCAAATTTTCAAAATGGATTAATCTTTTGAACGACTGGGAACTTTCAATCTAGTTAAATACATATATTTTAATTTAGTTTAAGGCTAAGAAATAGCTATACATGTTCATTTTTCTGTGGTTATGAACTTGTGAAATAAGATCATTTTTTTTTCTCATGACCTGATTTCTGTCTCCTGCAGTGATATATGAAGGGGCGTGGAAAGTATTATCGCATATGTGATATGGGATATATCACCACAGAAAGATCAAAGAAAATCACCGCAGATATGCGACAAGTATAGGTTACATCATAGAAGCCAAGTAGTATTGATTATATCGTTTTCATGGGGCGTGGAAATCGAGGGCTCGGAGCACCCGAGATTTCCACGCCCCATGAAAACGATATAACCAATAGTACGAGGCATCTATGATGTAAGCAACTTGTTGCATGTCTGATGACGTAAACTTCATTGAGAGTGTCAAAATTCAATAATAAGAAAAAAAGGATTCATTTCAAGCTAGCTCTCCAACATGTTGAACGTTCTTAGTGAATTTGACTTTGAGTTTTTAATTGAGTTTGAAGATTTTGACACTTTATTTTTGAGCCAGGCACTCGACATATATGAAATCACAGAAACAAATAGCAAGAAGTTTAACGATAAAGAGTTTTGAGATTTTACTGTAACTTTCAAATTTTCAAAATGGATTAATCTGTTGAATGACTGGGAACTTTCGACCGAGTTAAATACATGTTTTTTAATTTAGTTTAAGGCTAAGAAATAGCTATACATGTTCATTTTTCTGTGGTTATGAACTTGTGAAATAAGATCATTTTTTTTTTCTCATGACCTGATTTCTGTCTCCTGCAGTGATATATGAAGGGGCGTGGAAAGTATTATCGCATATGTGATATGGGATATATCACCACAGAAAGATCAAAGAAAATCACCGCAGATATGCGACAAATCTTTAGTTACCATATATGTGAAATTATTTTTTTTTAAATTACAACACTACGCTACCTAAATGCTACTGCGAAGTGAAAATTTATTTGATTGTTCTTTCTTTCTAAATTTTATATAAAGACAGAAAAATTGTGAAGTGTGGTACATGTAACATGTAATTACAATACACAATAGACAGTAAATAAAAAGGAAATTCGGTTGATTCACTGCATATATAAGGCTGTCTGTCTGCATTGGGTAAATAATGACACTGCTTTTTTGAAAATATAAAGGATACACAAAATATTTTTCAGTCTAGCAGTAAAAAATATTTTAATATTAACCAATCAAAAGGTAGAAATTTTACAAACAAATGAATGAGTTATAATCCGCAATCATTTACACAATTAATAGATAAGCACAGAATTAACATTTTGTAGGATTATGTGTATGTTGGTGAAGGGGGAGGGTAAAAAATCTAAATGGCAGAAACTTACAATTCTTGTGAACACGAGTTGAAATAAATAAAAAAAATTTTTTACTTCAAAAGTTTTAAGTGCACCCAGTACCATTAACCCTACAACTTGCAGATTCACTTTTATATTTAGGTTTGAAATAATGCTGCCTATTATTCTTCATTTTATATATTTGTACCTTTAATTCTGAGCATTGCCATTTTCAAAATCGCACAGCGATCATAAACACTATGAGCCTGGAACTGAATTGCTATGAATTCAGTATTGTTAATCATGTATATAATGATACCCTAAAATTAAAAAAAATCTGGTTTTATTTTATGAAATGGAGGGTTTTAGAAGCACACCCATAGAATTAAATTAAAGATGCCATTTACGGTTTATATGAATTTTATAGCTTTTGTTGGGGTAGGGGTGGGTTTAAGATTAATAACATGTAATTGTTTATGCCTAAATATACAGTCAGTTGAATATGACTGTTTTGTATAATATATTTCCTGACAATTGTCTGTGAACTGGCTGAGCTTTGAAATGTCAGATTTTTGTAGGGATATAAACATCGTAGAAAATCATCATATTATTTATTACCTAATTAAAAAAAAATCCCCTTCATTCTAA